CTACATATAACCTCCCCTCTGGGGGATGGGCAACAGAAGGGTGGGTGAAGGGAGATGCCGGGCAGTGTAAGATAAGATAAAATAATAATTTATAAATTATTAAGGGTTCATGAGGGAGGGGGGAGTGGGGAGGAAGGGGGGGGGAAGGAAAATGATCAAATTCCAGGAACCCAAGAGGAAAGCAAATTTTGAGAATGATGATGGCAACAAATGTATAAATGTGCTTTACACAATTGATGTATGGATGAATTGTGATCAATTGTATGAGCCCCAATAAAAAGATTTAAAAAAATACAATTGACCTGATAACCACAAGGTCAACAGTTCAAAACACCAGACTGCTCCAGAGGAAAAAAGATGGGACTTTCTACTCCTGTGAAGGGTTACAGTTCCACAAAGACATAGGGGCAGTTCTACCTGTCCTATAGGGTTGCTATGAGTTGGAATCAACTAACTGGCAGTGATTTTTGTTGGTTGTTTTGGTGGGAGAGGAGGGATTCCTATTTGTTAAAAAGCATCCATGTGCAGTATTCCTGTTATACTAGTACTAGGTAATTAAGGCAGACCCCAAGAAGTGTTTTGAGGGCAGACAGCATTACATGCATGGCTACAAAGCAAAGTTCTACTGTGACATTATGAAGTTGAAGATGGGCTTATTCCTTATATATACATAATTAAAACCTTAGGGAGGAAATATAATTGTAGTGGAATTCGTGCTAATGGAGAGGTAGAGTTTTAGTTGTGGCTGCGAAATTAATTGTTGGCACCTTTTCTCATTTACTTTTCTCACCTGATAGAAGCAGCCTTTGGCGGAGGCAGCCTAGGTTGTGGTCCCACACTCTGAGGTTGGAAAGAAGGCTGAAGGGGGTGCACCATGGAGACTAGTGCATCCCTACCAGGTTTCCTTTACCATTTAGGAAAGCGAATTGTTGCTTTCCATTCTGCCCCAATTTAACACTGATAGGCACCACACCAGTAGCCAGCAACCCTCCGACTTCTCTGAGGGGCAGAGCTAAGGCAGGAGAGAATGAAAACCACCTTGCTCTAACTCTCTTGGCAGAGCCAGCATGCCACTCTGTGTCCTGGTAGGAATGACTGCCAGCTCACCATCTTCCACCAAGCCAGGTCATACCAGTCCTCTCTCCACCCAAGGATTTCATACTGTTTCACAAAACTGATGGATTGGGTGTCACTCTGCTATTTTCTAGATGAAATTTTGAAGAAGAGAAACAATAGAACTTGTTCATTAATCACCTTGATAAGAACCTTTACCTGATCTATGCAATCAGCTTTAAAATAGAAAACTTAGATCAGATTATGGCTAAATCCTTTTCTTCCCCTAGTCATTCTATGATTGTAAGGGATGAAACTCGATATATAGAAACACCAAACAAGAAGAGGTATGCCTGGAGATGTACAATAGTTTACTGAAGGCAATATCTGTTAAGCAGTTTCCATGAAATTGATTCTGACTCAGAGTGATCCTGTGTGGGTCAGAGTAAAACTGTACTTTACGGAATTTTAAGTTGTTGATTTTTTTGAAGTATATTTCCAAGACTTTCTTCAAAGCTACCTCAGTGTAGATGGAATCTCCATATTTCCAGTTAGAAGTCAAGAAAAGTTGCACCATCTACGGTTGCCAATGAAGGCCATGGTTGTTGGGCGAGGGTGAGAGGCTACAACTTATCATGCTGGTATATGTGATAGAAAATAGCGTGGTCCAGTTTGGGGCTGGACTCACAATCACAGGTAAGTTTGAATCCATTGTTGGTTTTACTGCATCAACTCATCTCATTGAGGGTTTCCTTAAATTTTGCAGACTCTCTACCAAAACATGGTGTAGAGAATCTTAAAAGTACCATGGACTTCCAAAAGAAAGGGACAAATCTCTCTTGGGAAAGAAGTACAACCAGAGTGCTCCTTAGAGATAAGGATGGAGAGGCATCTTTTTATATGGTTGAACATGTTCTCAGGAGAGACAAGTCCCTGGAAGGACAGCGTGCTGGGTAAAGTAGTGGTGCAGCAAAAGAGAGGGAAGCCCTGGACAAGACGGATTGATGTGTTGGTGCAACACTTGGCTCAAACATAAGAATCACTGTGGGAATGACACGGGGCTGCGAGGTGTTTCGTTGTGTTGTGCACAGGGTGGCTATGAGTCAGAACCAACGTGACACCGAACAAAATCTTTTCTCATTTTGTGTTTTTATTCAAGCTTTATTTCGAGGTTTATGACATACAATTTTCTCTATTTTTTAAAAATATATTTTTGCTGATTCATTTGGGGGTAGTTTTAATTTCAAATGAAATCAAATCATAGCATTGATATCATTTCCTGGTTTAGCTTCCCAGCATGTCTATTCTTTCAAATAATATGTGCATACATTTAATTATTAGAATTAAGTAGGGCATGCTCATTTACTCTTACTTGATTTTTCCTATTTGAATTCACATTCCTCTGCTATGACATACAAGTCCTTTACTGGGAGTTCCAAAATTGAATATAAAGTAGGATATGGTGACTTTCACAATATGAAAATCAGTAATACAAAGAACTTGGTGAACAGATGCACACCCCAGTTCACAAAGTGAGTGGGAAACAAGAATCCTTGGAAACGTGACAGCCAGCAACAGAGAGGTCCTGAAATGGGTGTTAGATTATTTTGGAAGGTGTTAGCGGTTCTTCAAATGCATCTGAATAACTGGGAATACAAGATAATTATTCATGGATTTGCCAAAGGGATATTTCTATTAAAAGCTCAATAGCTTCCATAGTACTTATGAAAAGATACTATTCTACAATCAGCAGGGGACTATTTTGATTTGGCACTTGAAAATTCAGTCAGGAAGTAGTCTGAGAGGAAAAATAAAGTATCTTACCTGGATATTTTCCAGATGTGCATATATTGCAGTAGTTGTTTCAGATAAAACTGACTGTGGTCATCTTCATGCTATAGACAGCAGAATATAGTGATATTTAAAGAGTGAATAGGAATGAGTACCCGATAAAGATAGGTCTGTAGCTTCCTGCTGTCATTTTATTCACCTCTTTGATAACCCTCATTCATCGTTTTAATACTTTGTCTTAATGACTTTAGAAGACTATTCTTAACTGGATAGTATGAGTTTCAATAATAAAACAGAAAGCTGAACTTTGGTTGAAGATAAACCTATATGATGGTTGAAACCCTCGTCCTAGCAAGGGCAAACATGAATATCTCCAAGTATGAGTGCGGTATTTCAGGAACCAGTTCGATCGCCATGCATGCATACATTGAGGTCACAGATGCATTGGTAGCAGAAGATTTGACAGATGGCCAGGCCTGCAGGTTAATTCTTGCATTTGTCAGCTTTACCGCATCATGCTATCAAGATGTCACGGTGAAAGAGCTTTCTATTGCATGAGCGTTAAATTGGGCTAATGAATGGCAACTAGGTATAGATTCTCGGAGTTGTGATATAGGATTCCGTTTTCTCCTGAAAGAGCAGTAACTATTGATCCTAAAATTGCATGCTTGTGGTCCACATGTGTGCTTTTTTGCTATCTCTCTTACACGCCCACAGACACAAGCACTAGTGAAATCCTTGACCAGGATTTCTGGAAATGTCATCCATGAGTGTCTTCCGTAAATCTGCAGCCGAGAATGCAAGACATTCCAAGGTGGCCACAGTGTTTCAACACGTGGCATTGCTACATTGGAAAGTACAGTGGCTCCAGTAATGCCTGGAGTACACGGAGTCTTCTGTGTCACTAAAACCCCAATCTATAAGCAGTGGAAATAATTTTATATGATTTAAGGTCAAAATTAAACTATTTGATTTGTTTTGTTAGGAAGAAGAAGGTAACAAAGTTACCTACAAGAGTTAGGTCATTACTATTAACAATCTGCCACGGTTACAAAGACCCACCATAGAAACGTCCGAAGCAAAACTGAACACTGCCATCGACTCGATGCTGACTCACAGCAACCCCATGGAGCAGAGTAGAACTGCCCCTTCGGGTACCGAATATTTTAACTCTTTACAAGAGTAGGCAGTCTCCGCTTTCTCCTAAGAGAATCTGGTGTATTCAAATAGCCCACCTTCCTTATAGTTAGCAGCTCAATGTTTAGCCCATTGCACCACCAGGGTGCCCAGGTACGCTATACGTAAGAGATTTGCTCTTTCGGAATATACAACCACAGCTATTTAGATGGCTGGAACTATTTTTTTGTGCATACACTAATTCTGGAGGAAAGTGTGATAATAGTAAAGCATACTTGTTCTCTTCTGCTTGTACCAGAGTAAATTACATTTTAGAAGAGAAGAGAAAATACAAAATGAGAAACAGAATCAAAGGCAGAGGTAATAACATTTGCACTGCAATAGTTGACAGCCACTTTCTCTAAGAAGTTAAAACTGAAGAAAGCATATAAAAAGTATGAATTACATTTGTCCTTCTTATAATATTCATTTTAAAAATTTACATTATCTTGTTTCCAGAAATATTTTGTAGATAGTGGGGATCAGGTTATTTTTTAATCATAATTTACTAGAAAATAGTACTTCAAGTCACTAAAGTGGTTGAAAGATAGTTTCGGAGATTTTCCTTGAGTTATACCATTTATTTTCCTCCAAAGAAAAGGCAGTGCTTTAGCCTTAAGGGAAAGTTATTGTTAATGTAAGATTTTTCTCTTTATAATCCGAATTGTACAATGATACATTTCTGTGGATATTTCCTTCAGATAGAAGAAAGAACTAATTTTAAAAATTATTATCTACTCTACTGCTATCAATTTTGTATAAAATTTGTAGTGACAAGATTGAAAATAAAGAGACTTAATCATTCATATCACTTTTAATCAGATGGGGATTAAAATGTTTTAATGGTAGGCTGATCTCTAAAGTTGGTCAACATACTGTATAAAGAATTTTGTGGAATACGAGTTCAATGATCATATTTTAGAATAAAATTATTCAGTATAATAGAGGAAAAGGCAACTAAGATGAATTAATCTGTACAATACTATTGACAGTTAGAAAACTAAAGTATTTACCCAAAGGTAATGGTGTCGATACATTTATTAGAATTAAAATCATTATGTGAAAAAATAATCTCAAAGTAATTGCATTCTGTTTTACTAGAAAGAAAATATAAGCATTCTTAGATGTTTGGCTTACATATATATTTACTTATATTTTTCACACATTCTAAAAAAGATAGAATTTTTATACAAATGTAAAGAATAAAACAGGAAAATATTCACTCTTTATCATGTGTACATAGAAGATAAATTATTTTAAATATAGCAATTCAGATAATGAAGAGGGTTTATGATCACAGTTATATTAAATTAATGATGTTACCACATGTACTTTAGAAAGAAAATAATATGAAACTTTTATGAAAATGAATTTTATAATTCGTTTTATAAAGTGTCTTGATAAATATGCCACTTAGAATTGAGATCAAAATATAACCTGCTTATGGAAAGTATAATGAGCATTAAATTATTACAACAACAATGATCTATTTGAGTGTAATATATATGCTATTTCTGTGTAATATACTAATGTCTACAACTTTTAACTGTACATAGGTTCACTGAATTGTTCCTCTACTTTGTTGGGTGATTCTTGAAGGCAAGTACAATCTATTGCATGGAAAAGTATTCAATAACATTTTTGAATTAATGAATTATTATTTGATGTTGTTGCTGTTAGGGGTTCTAGAGCTGGTTGCTACCCCCAGCAACCCTACACACAGAGTCCAAAACACAGCTGAGTCCTGGGCCAGCCTCACCGTTGTTCTTCTGATGCCCATTGTTGCAGCCATGGTGTCAATCTGTCTCGTTGAGGGCTTTTCTCTTTTTTGATACCCCCAACCCTCTTTACACAGTATTACATGTTCCTCCAGGGACTGGTCTCTCCTGATAACATGTCCAAAGTATGTAAGACAAAGTTTGGGATGCTTGTCTATAAGGAGCCCTCTGGCTATACTTCTTCCAAGACAGATTTGCTTGTCTTGGTAGCAGTCCATGGTCCTTTTGATATTATTTTCCATTAACACAATTCTTAGATGGTCTTCTTATTCAAAGTCCAACTTTCACATGCATCTGAAGCAATTGAAAATACCATGGCCTGGGTCAGGTACACTTTAGTCCTCAAAATAACATCCTTGCTTTTTAATAATCCTCTATTTTTACCTAATGCAACTCATCTTTTGATCTCTTGACTTCGGCTTCCTGGACATTGATTCTAGATCCAAGCAAGACAAAATCCTTGACATTTTTTAATCTTCTCTCCATTTATCACGGTGTTACCTATTGGTCCAGATGTGAGAATTTGGGGTCTTTTTTCATAGAGTTGTAATCCATACTGAAGGCTATCTTCCTTGTCTTCCTCAGCAAGCACTTCCAGTCCTCCTTATTTTCAGCAAGCAAGGTTGTGTCACCTGCATACCACAGGTTATCAGTTAGCCTTCCTCCAATCCTGATGCCACGTTCTTCATATAATATAGATTCTCTGATGATTTTCTTAACATATGGTCTGAATAAATATGATGAGAAGATATAACCTTGATAAAAACTTTTATTTATACTAAACCATGTAGCATTCCCTCGTTCTAGCTATACAACTGTCTCTTGATCCATGTATAAGTTTCCCATAAGCACAATGAAGTGTTTTGGAATTCCCATTTTTCCAAGGTCATCCATAGTTTGTTATCCACACAGTCTATGCCTTGGTAGTCAATGAAACACAAGTAAACATCTTTCAGCCAAGATCCATCTGAAATCAACAATGATATCTCTTATTTACATCGTCTTCTGAATTTGGTTTGAAACTCTGGCATCTCCTACTACCGTCACTGGATGATCTTCTGCAAAATTTTACTTGCATGTTTTATCAATGATATTGTCCTATAATTTGAGCATTCTGTTGAGTTGCCTTTCTTGGAATGAGGACAAATGAGGATCTTCTCCAGTTAGTTGGTCAATTACCTGTCTTCCAAATTTCCTGGCATAGACAAGTGAGTGCTTCCAGAGTTTCACCAGCTTGTTAAAGCATTTCATTTGATATTCCATCAATTCATGGAGCCGTGTGTTTGGCTAATGCTTTCAGTAAATCTTCAACCTTGTCCTTCCTCACCATTTGCTCCTGCTCAAATACTACCTTTTGAAATGGTGAACCGTCGACTAGTTCTTTGGGGTATAGTTACTCTATATTCTTCATTTTTAAAAATTATTGCAGTTTACAATATGATGAGCATGTCCTTCCTTTTGGTCTGCCTGACTCTCTAGGCCTTTGCATGTTTCATTAAAATATTTTACTTTGTCTTCTCCAGCTGCCCTTGGAAATTTTCTATTCAGTTCTTTGACTTCATCTTTTCTTCTCTTTACTTAACGACTCTGCACTTAAGAGCAAGTTTCAGAACCTCTTCTGACATCCACTTTGATATTGTCTGTTTTGTCCTGTCTTTTAAATGTAACTTTTCTTTCTTCATCAGTGATGCTCTTCCATTGCTCATCAGGTTTTCTGTCATTGTTGTTCAATGTATCACATCGGTTATTGAGATGTTCTGAAAATTCAGGTGGGACATACCACACCCAATGTAATATTTTGGCTCTCTTGGACTGTTATAATTTTCTTCAGCTTTTCCTTGAACTTACAAATGTGCAACTGGTCTGTTCCTCAGTCATACCCTGGCATAGTTTCAGCTTCTGATATTAAGTTTCTCTATCATGCCTTCCAACAGACATAGGCAATCTGATTTCTGTGTATGCTATTTGGAGAAGTTCATATACATAGCTGCCTTTTATGTTCTTGAAAAAAAAAGGTATTGACTATGAAAAAGTCATTGGTCTTGTAAAAGTCTCCCATGCTATCATCAGCTTTGTTTCTATCACCCAATCCATATTTTTCAATTACTATTTCTTCTTCTCTGTTTCCAACTTTTGCATTCCAATCACCAATAATTATCAATGCACCTTGATTGCATGTTTGATCAATTTCCAGTGAAATCATTGGTAGAATTCTTCAATTTATTCATAGATAGCTTTTGTGGTTAGTGCATAAATTTTAATAATAATTGTACTGATGCGTTTTCCTTGAAGGCAAAGACATATAATCATATCACAGCATTGTGTTTCAAGATTGATCTTCCAGTGTGCTTTTTGGAAATTAATGCTTCAATCTCCTTCTTGATTGTATTATTCCTGGCATAGTAAATCATATGATTTTCTGACTCATAATGGCCAATACAGTCTGTTTCAACTCACTAATGCCTGGCATATTAATCTTTATGTGTTCCAGTTAATTTTTGATGACTTTCAATTTTCCTAGATTCATACTTTGCACATTCCCAGTTCTGATGTCTGGTCTTAGTCCATGAAACAGAGTGAGTAATGTTTGATAATTATCTATAAAATACTTACCACAGTAAAGTTTTAATAAACCATAATATCTTCTCCTTTGGAATTTGATGCTAAAAAATCCCGAAAAAATCAGAGTGTAGGGAAATGGACACATGGATGCCATTTTTATAGTCTGTGTGAGTTACATTTCTTCCAATCAGGAGTCTGCACCACTTTAATACCCCGGACCTTTAGTTCAATGACAGCTGACTCTTCTTGATTTTGTTCTTTACTCTATAACTACTCATTAGTGCAGGGCCTAGTACAAAGCAGTTATGTAACACATATTTACTGAATGAGTAAAGGATGTACAAGAAAACTGTGCCATCAGACACCTTGTCCATTCTTAAATAAAAGTGTCAGTGCTAGGAGTAATTGTGAATGAGAAAATGTATTTATATTATTTTCATACAAATTACTGAATTGGCCAACAATATATTTTCTATACGAGATAAAAGCTGAAAAGTTGAACCATAATTCATAAAAGAATATTTATAATATTTCATTCTAACTACTATACAAGTAATATTTTCAAAATAAGAATTCCTGGTGATAACTATACATTATATACACAGAGATGACTGGGTATAGCCTGTCTCTTGGTAGCCTTATATATAATGAGCTTTACAGTCAGAGTAGCTTTTCCCATGTTTCATACCCTTTAAATAGGAGCCATGAAACTTGAATTTTCACTCACTCACAATTATTCTTTACATCATATATATGTATATGATGGAAAGTATATATACAATCTTGGAATATATATATATATATATATAAATAATAAATAAAATATATATATATTCTGCTGCAGGATTATTTTGAATTAAAACATGCAAAGCACTGATAAAAGTGAGGGGACATTGATATATACTTTATATATCATTGTCCAGAGTTTGGGCTGTGTGTGTAGATTTTGTAACCCTGGAAGGCACAGTGATTAAATGCTTAGTTTCTAACTCAAAAGCATGACTGTTCAAACATACCAACCATTCTGTGGAAGAAATATGTGGGAATTTGCTTTGGCAAACATCATGACCTTGGAAGATCTATGTAGTAGTAATACTTCATTGTAAAAGTTGAGTTCGAATTGTCTCAACAGCAATGCCTTTTATTTTTAATGTATGTATCGTTGTGGTGGAAAGCAAAATAAGACAAAGGAAACAACTCACACACAGAATTTGAGCATTTGTGATGAAACTCACGTCCAAAACTTTTAGAGTAGTTCATGAATGCTAAGCACATTTGCTCTTCATGTGCATATAACTTACTAACACAAGGAAGCGGTTATTAGCTATAGCCATGCTCCCCTGCTTTGCTGATAGTATTATAACCTTGGGCAAGTGATAGGTCCTCCGTGTCAGTACATTTTCTTATTTTTATAGCATATTTATCTGAATTATTTTGGAGATTAGTGTGAAAATTGTGTTGACGTCTCAGGCATAAATACATGGTCAATACATCCCATAAAATAATAGAGGGATATGTTTTAAAAATAAACCTTATTTTACACAAGAATGAAATGCTAATGCTTTGCATATTACTATCATTAAGTTATATTTTTAAACAACATGCAATATCTAAACCAGATTAAACATTAGAATTACATATTTTTGTCTTCTATTTAAAAAAACATAATTAGCTTATCCCTATTGTAGATACATAAAAAGATTTTAGGTTTATTAATCTAGAGATTACATGCTGCATTTAAAAACGTTTCTTTGTACAGAATTCAGGTGCATAGTCCTGGTGCTGTCAACACCAGCTGAGCTGGATAAGAGATCTAAAACATATTCCTAAACAACTCTCTTTTGGCCTCATTATGTTACATTCCACATAGATATACTGTAACCTAATGCACAATCTGACATTTTTATGATGAAACACCTCAGATTAGGGAAAAAGAAAACGCATGCATTGGTATCTGTTATCTGATGTAAATGACAGGATGATGGGATTTTTGCTTAAAGCAGGTAATTGGAAGAGTCGACAGATAAAAACTGCCAAAATATCAAAGTTCACTGCACACTGTGCAATTTGGGTTGGAAGTAACTCAAGACATCACACAGGGAATAAAAATTGCATCTAACAGCATGAAATACTGTCATTAAATCACAGTAATCCTTTTCTAGGTTTTAAAAAATATATTCCGAATATTAATCTGTCCTGATTTTAAGTTATACTCTTGCACACAAAAAACAGTCTTCAAATAGAACAAGAATTGCTATTTTTCTCTCTTCAATGACTCCCCTTCATACTTTATATTTCATTCATTCATGATTTGATATCTGAATAGTATGAATATGAAGAGAATATGAATTTCTCCCACACTATTTTTCCAAAAGACCAATTTATTTGTTTTTCACTGAGGTTGCAGTAGGGTGTTCATGTGATTGCTTTAGCACAAATTGCTAACAGGTATTCTGATAAAGACATCCTTATGCTTAAAAAAATGCTCAAATGAACATGTATTTACCCATGTAGATAGTTCTGTATTGGCAAAGATCCATCAAATAAGAATACTATTCTTAAAATGATCAATTTTCTAATTGAAACCACGTAATTAAAGTCTTACCTTTCTAGATAACTGTGTTGGAACTTCCCTATTTTTCTGCAGCTGAAGGTGAATAACAGTTTTATCTTTCTGAAATATTTTGTGGCTCCCCAGACAGCAATCACTGAACAGAAACAAACCAAGAAAACAATCATTGCTTTGCATAACAACCTCAGCTGTCTGTTTTCCTCCTTTGACTTCATTGTCTTCTCTCCTTGGAACTTACGACATACGTGTGTGTGTGTGTGTGTGTGTGTGTGTGTGTGTGTGTGTCTGTGTAAATATGTATAGTAGAGCCCTTCATCTTATTCATTTAAAAAGGGCTCAAAATAAAAAATAAACTCACTACCAATTCAAAAGTGACCACCGAGGGCGGGGCAGACTCTCCCTAGGTTCCATGAAAGCCTCCTCTTTCTCCATCAGAGCTGCTGCTGTTCCCAGCCGCTCTCCTCTGTTAGTCGTTCAATGTGTTACTCACAGTGCCACCAGGGCTCCTCTTAAAATGACCGTAGTGGAAATATGTTCAAGAGCAATTAGTTAGAAATGGATTAGTAATTCTTACGTCGGTTCCTAATAATTGTGATAAAGAGGAATGCTTTACCTATCCATAATTAGCTTCATACATTTCAAAGCTTGGCGGTCTAATTGATGCCTCAAAGTCTACTGGGGACCAACCTATTATGGAAGAAGAACGGATTGGGGTAAAAATGATATGGGTTTTAAAAACAGATTTATTATCTCTAGACCAGATGGCCTTAAACTAAGTATCTTCAGCTTCAGACATGGGATATTGATGTCTACACATCACAGAATTAACAAGATTAAATAATAAAAGTGCACACACCTATTTTAGTAATTTCTTAGTAGTCCATTTTACCTCACCCTTCTCTAAATATTTATTGAGCATCAGTTTAATGCTGACCATAATGAATTACCATATATGCTCGAGTATCAGCCGACCCGAATATCAGCTGAGGCACCTAATTTTACCACCAAACCTGCATAAAAATTGTGCTGAAAAACTAGGCTTATACACGAGTATATACAGTAGTCTTTTGAAACGTATGCTTATTATTTGAAAGAGAATATGATCTCTCTGCCAGGAAATGGCTGCTTTAGACACTGGCATGGGCAGAATCTTTCCCAAAGATCTAGTCCATGGGCTATCCTTAGAATCTTCAAAATGTACTCGAATTTCTCTCTCTCTCTCTCTTTACACCAACTCCAGATTTCATAACTGGGTTTTGTCTTTGAGGTCTATTTTCCTTTGTCAGTCCTAGGAATCAATTTAATAAGTGATCTACTTTGCTTGAAAATCCCTTTACTAAGTATGTTGAAGCCCTCTACAACAGGCCAATAATACCAGCCTTCTATGTGGCTAATTTCCTCTTCTTTAGCTGAATGTCTTTATTGCACTGTCCTGTGTAGTTATGATTCCTAGGATTGCTGCATGAAACATAGGATTTACAGTTAAATTGGATTTTAGATAAACCATGATTTCTTTAGTATAGTATTGGAGATATACTAGAAAAATTATTCGTGCTTATTGAAATTCTACTTTAACAGGAGATTCTGTATTTATAATTGCTAAATTTGGCAATCTTGCCCCAAACTTATTTTTGACTATTTGATGACAGTTCAATAGGCTAAATTTTAACTATAAAGTATTATATTCTATCATTCATAAGAATTTTCACTATAAAGTGACATAGTCCATATGGCTTCTCCTCCATGGAAAAAAAAAAGTACCTAAAACTAAGTCTTGATCCTTCTATCCTCTTTGCGTGTGTGTGTGTGTGTGTGTGTGTGTGTGTGTGTGTGTGTGTGTGTTGGGTAGTCTTGGTTTAATTATCAGATATGGGCATTCTTTTTTTATCTACATGTTTCCTCTTAAAAAAAAAAAAAAAGAAAAACCACAGTTCAAAACCACCAGGCTTTCAGAGGAAGAAAGATGAGGCTTTTTATTTTCATCAAGTTACAATCTCAGAAACCCACAGGGGCAGTTCTACCCTAACTGATGCTATCTGTAGGAGTCAGCATCCATTTGACAAGAGAGTGAAAATGAGAGAGAGATTTATTTAGTCTATAGTTAGAAAGCCTTAAGCTATTCTCTGAAACTTTGCCTTCAATCAGATGATTTATATTGATACCATCTATGCTATTTTACATTTATATTAACCTTTTTATTTTTCAGATTTTTCCTTTCTTTGTTGGGATTGAGTGTTCTTTGAACTTCCCCTTGATTTATCATCAGAAGCTTATATGTAATAAACTTGCATTAAATCTTCTAATGATCACCTTAATTTTTTTAAAGCAAAGTTATTTTACAGCTTTTCAGTTACAATCTGGACTTGATAATTATTTAAATTTTGGAGCTTAATTTGACTTTAATCCAATTATTTTCTCATTGGCTAACAACTGCTCTTATAGGTGATCATTTGAAATTATAGTTCCATATTCTTTATCTTTTTGTGAGGGAGCCAGAATAGGGACTAAGGGGGGTTGTCTCCCCCTGCCTGCATAAGGCTACACCAAGGGGCTGGAAAGCAACCAGGCACCCATTAGATGCCTAAGGAAAGATCCAAACAGAGCATGCTCAGACACAAGCCTCTGAGGCCCAGTGGGAGGTCCACCTGCGCCCACAGACTAGGTCCAGCCACATGACATCACACAGGTGGGCCTAAACTCAGCCAGTAGAATAGGCCAATACCCTCAACCACACCTCCCCCAGCCAGCGTGGAAGGGAGGGAATGAAAGCTGGTGACCCTGCCAGCTCTCTCTCTCTCTCTCTCTCTAGTTCTAGTGTGCTCTGCAGGCAGAGGGGAGGAATCTCTCCCATGTGTGAGTGCACATGTGCTGCTTGGTCCTGAGGCCCGAACTCCCACCCGTTCCTCTCTCTTGGCTGCTGGATTTCCTAGTTCCCGAAGCATCAGTTCATGGTTCTGTTCTGGTATTCTTTCTACGTGAGGCGCTCAGCATGAACCCCCACAGGCAGGCACACTTTCCAAAATCAGCATGCGCTTTTTGAGACTGTAAAGCCTTAAATTTCCATTTTCCTCATAAAAGTCACTTGGATTACAAACATGCTTCTGCTGCGTGATTTCTTTCAGCAACGGGAAGCAAGAACCGAGGTCTCCCAACCCAGATACTTAACACTTGTACATGATGAAATCAAGAAAAATAGAAAGACCAAGAAAATTAAAAGGGAAGACCAAGTACAAATTGTAAAACAAATATATACCTTTAAACATTTTCTGTTTTAAACTTAATGTAAGTAGCTATAGTTAAGGTTTGGATGTAGAATAAAGCCTTTGAGGTTGAAGGAAAGTTCTATTAGTTACATTTTGTTGTCATCTTTCTAAAAGATCCCTGGTGGATTAAAAAATATTTCGGTAGTAGGAACAGGGTTGTTAGTCAGAGACTAGCATGGGAGGGAGAGGTGAGAATGGTTTCTGAACATAGCCCTCCAGCACAGAGGAATATGAAGGGCAGAACAAAACACATTTCCTTATCAGTGGAAGAGGCTGATATATTGGAGATAATAAAATGGATGGGTGAAGAAAGCCACTCGCGTTGGAAACAAGAGCACAGCAGGAAGCGGGAGGTGCTGGGGTGCACATCTCTGGAAAGAGGATGTACATTCCAAAGGACCAATGGTAGAACGTGTCCCAGAAAGTCTATGGTGGGAAGTCCCCAAGAGCAGAAAATAGAGTCCAACTTTACAGTTTGTCAGACCTTTTAGAATAGTTAAGCAGTGAGTCCCCCAGAGAAAGATGGGGCATTCTGCTTGTGTTAGTCTGGGTACTTTAGAGAAACAAATCCCACAGAAACCTAATATGCACAAGACAGTTTTATATAAAGGTTAAGTGCACATCAAGAAAACATCCCAACCCAGTGCTGCCCAAGCTGACAAATCCACATTAACCTGTATGTCTGACACCAATC